GTCTTTACTTTAAATACTTATAAGTTATAACTCATAAACTAGTCCTAAATTCGATTTTTATGTATCAAAATACTTGGAAAAATATTCTGCTTTGGAATATGAAATAAAAATTTTGTTGACATTCAAAAAAGTAAAAAACTTAAAAAATATTTAAAAATGTGATTTTTTAATAAAAACGTTGTTTTTTAACAACTTGAAACTATGTAAAAATTGTTTTTCAAAAACATAAATACTTTTTGAAATAATGATTGTTTCATGATCAAAGAATCATCTTGTATGCATATTAAAATACCAATGTATTTTTTTATAATACAGATACGTGGTTTTTTATGGAAATTTTTAATTCCAGTAAAGAGTATAAATTATAAATTTAGTTTTTGTGATCGATTTTTTTTCATTTACATTTTATATCTATTTGTTAGACGTTATATTATTATGACAATATTAAATTATGTGTTAAATTATGTTACTATCACGTTACGTAGGGTGGCTTTATATAACTATATAGAATAAATTATATTAATACAATTACTAACCTGGTTTACTTTTTTACTAGACACTGAGTAAGTACGCGACACTTAAGCGATTTTGAGCTTTTTGACTAATATTTTTACGATGATTTTATATCACTTTACTTGTGTTGTAGTTGTATATATTATATTAACACGTGCAATAGGATGGCTGTGTTTGTTCCAACCGACGTTTTCCATCATAAACATTACGTGCAGATCGCGATTATGATTTCTATATTTAAAAAACGATCGCGAATTATGGAGAAAAAACACGTGTTGATTATTTCACAGAAACGGTTAAAAATGTATTTTATTTCGTAGTAATTTGAACCACAGTGCATACGAATATCTAAAAATAACACCCGAGATATTTTTTCACCACATTTGGGCTGTGGACTGTGGTTACTATAATAATATTAATAATAATAATAATAATAATAAGCAATTTTTAGCATACCATTCTTCGCGTCTCACGAGTAACCACGTTTACCTACTCTTTCTGAGGTTCTACGCGATAGGGCGGTTTGTATGGATTAAATAAAAATGATAAAACAGTGAAACCTCAGTACAGTGATCCGGAAACTCTCTCGGTTATTGATATTTTGTCCGCTATTTAGAGGTTCCGTTAGGGGAGGTTTCGCTGTAGTATGATCCACCTATAGGTACACAGTTTCATTGTAAATTGAATTGTTCCGTTTACATAATATTATTAGGTGTTTGGGCAGCTATCGAGGTATATTAGGTCTTTTAAATTTATTTTATGTAGGTAATAATATGGTGAGTCATTTTTTTCGCTACTATTTTTCTAACTTTAAAAGAGTATTGAACAAATTATTTATTGAACAGTTAGTTGCAATTAATGAGTTAAATAATATACCTATATAAAACATCTGTAGTGTTCTTGATTAAGATGTAAATTCGTTGTAGGCACTTACTAGTTACTTAACGTTGTCATGTAAAAAATAAATTACCTACTTAAATTAAAACGTTTTGTGTACTCCGACATTAGTCCACTAGGAATGATGAACATTTCTGATTTTAATCAAAAATACATAATATTATTCTGAAAATAAACAACATAAACATGTCTTAGTTTAATTTACTTATTTAATCTCTGAATTATATTGTTAAACATATGCGTTCGTTGAATAAACCTTAGATGGTAATAATAAGACGCTGCACAAAATACCCAATTTAAATTGTTCATTTTTTCTTGGCATATTAAACCGTAATTAAAAACGTGTGTCAGCTATTACGCTCGGTTTACCTTACTTGAAAATAATTTGTTTCTACGATGTTTTTATAATAATTATTTTTGTGTAACGCGGAAGACGTTAATTGAAAATTAACAGGTGCCAAGACACCATCAGCTCAATCTCAAATATCTGTTAAAATTCTATTACACATTAATATAATAGTTTTGTTCATCGCGTAAACGTCATTGACGTGAGTCGTTTATCAGCCAATAATTTCCGTTACACAATTTATAAATTACAGTAAGTGGCCAGTGCCTAGCTCAGTGTTTGGCATGAATCCTACAATATGTTATTGTACCATATGATACCACTCTACTGTTGGACGTCTACATATCTTGCTGCAGTTTGATCGAAATGTTATGAAAAATTAAATACTTTGTGAACATAACTGCTGCACGGGGAAAATAATATGCCACCTAGTTCCAAAAAAAACTTCTGACAGGATTAGACGGATTACATGGACACTCTTTTTTATTATTACATATATAGTTCACCAAGTTCGGGATAGTGATGTACTTATATTGTTATTTTCTATTCATTTTTTGACAAGTTATTATGGGACCTAGTCCGCCAAAAATGCTTTTCACGTTTTGTCACTATAATATGGCTCCTCGATTAAAACACTCGAATACGAAACTTAAACCTTCTGTATAAAACTGCCATCGTTTTTATATTATATAATATAAAAGGTTATCGGCACAACTCCCTCTAAGTCTTTACTCTGGACTCAATACGTTTCATAATTCAAAGTCAGCTTTTTTACTTTTCTGCCAATTTATATGCAATATTCTTTAAAATCAGCTCCTTGCACTTAGTTATTGCCAAATATTTATAATTTCGGTTTTTAAACTTTTTATGAAATTACATTGAACATGTAGCTGAGAAATATAAACTGACCACATAATCTCATAAACGCAAAATAATAAGTAAATCCGCACTGGCGTACAATTTTCCTTTTAAATTTAGAACTATTCTTCTTTACACCTTGAGAGAATAATATTAAAAATCTAAAACATTATCCTTTAAAATACAAATTGAAAAATCATCCCCAATCGACAATAATAAGGCTGGGAAAGCTGTAGCTTTAAATGCATAACAATAATTAATATTCCATTCTTGTGATCTACAACCTACAAATGCACGTGATTAGGGAAATGTCAGTTCGGCACTCCCTGGAAGACAAACGGCTTAAATGTAATTTCCACCATTCTCTCATACCCCTCACAATAATAGGTACTTTATAATATTATTAAGTGGAAATTATATTTAAAAAAATATTTTATCGAAATATTAGCCTATAGCTCGTAATAATTATAAAACACAACTTTAAACTTACAATAATAATGTAGTTAAAAAAGAAACCGCTCGGAGGGGTGCTAATTTAAGATACCAGGATGCTAACCACCCACTTGCACCCCGTATGAACAAGACAATGGTGTGAAAGTCGTATTGTACAGAGAGAACGGCGTCCTATAATGAATAGCCAATAGGACGTAAGACACGGCCTTATATATTTTACAATAATAACGTAGTTCATAATAAACGTGTGGGGAGTTAGTTCATTTAAGGCACCGGGGACATCCCTAGCACCCCCCCCCCCCCCCCATGAGCACCCATGCCGCTGACCACCAAAAGTCGTAATATGTACAGAGAGAACGGTGGCCGTGCTGGAATCGGACTTATAGCAGTCTTGATGTGTAAAAATAATAATTCGTCGGACCGCGAACGTTTGGACGTTTGCCCGCGGCGTTCTGCACGGGCCGCCGCCGACGACGTATCCTCCTCGACAATAATAATAATAATAATAATTTAATCTCGAGACACCCACTACAACCCGGCTGCAACTGCGTAACCACCCACCCCTCGGTCGTCCCCACCCAGTCTGAATCATTAACACCACCCGCGGGCCCTCCCCCCACGCCACCGCCGGATAAGACGGCGTATCCATCTCGATGGGTCACATTATATATATATATATATACACTATAATGTACAATAATATAATATTATAAAAATATCACACTCACAACAATATAATAAAACGCCGACTCGGGTACTCCGAGCCAGCAAGCTCCTCCGAGCCGTGTACAGTATTATTTATATAAATAAATCGCGTCCAGCTTTCCGCCGATTTCGTCGTATTTTCTTCTACTCGTCGTTTATTTCTTTTTTTGCGCCTCTGATTCCGTTCCTTTCTTTCGGTCTGGTTTTCATTCGATCGACTGCACCCTATAACAATCGCCGTGAACCCGTAACCGAGCACGTCGTCGTCGTATTATAATAATATTATTATTATTCTGCTGCACTCGACGGTCGCAGCAAGGCAAAAAACGAAATAATAGTAATATTAATAAACAGCCGACGACGACGCCGCCACCGCCGCCGCGTAACTCCATCCGGAAGAACCGCCGAGTCGTGAGTCCGTCCGCCGCGCGTACACCGTCCACTTGTAGAAGATATTATTATAATAATAAATATAATAATTGTTGTACACCGAATTTTCTGCGAATTTTCCACGCCGGCCGATAACACATAATATTGCCATCACCGCCGTCATTGCACTAGGAGGTGAATATTAATAATTATAATATTATTACATCGTTTTTTTTTTTTTTTTTTGTGCTCCGAAAAATCATCACATGACTCGGTGAAGTAATCTTAAATAATAATTTAATAATATTGTAAGATAACACTACAAAATATTTTATTGAAATAGATCGGATATTATATTGGATAATATATTATTCTTGCAACAGCTGTGTAGTTAGCCCTCACTAACCGTACACGAGTTTAACTTTGAGCTTTTGTAATGTTTATTTGTTTATTTATTTTTTGTATTTCGCAATCGTATTGTGGGCGAATAATATTAGATTAAGTAGAGACCGGAATTATGTACGCGCATAGTAAAAACGATCAAATATCAAGGAACAATATGCACAATAACTTATGAAATATGCAGTAGGCATATTGCGCATTAAAAATCCGTACCAAATGAATATAAACAATAAAAGTATACCAGGTCTAACCTGGTATCTCTGATAGCACTAAAAGCAAATCTAGTCAATGAAATGAGTCTGACTTCCATCCCTTATGTGCACTCACCAACATAAATATGCAAATGCATATAATTTCGGTTTCTAAATGTACCCATATGCAAAGGCTTGCAATTATTTCCAGTCGACAACATAATATTTATTACATAATAACATTGTTAAATCGAATCGTAACCTCCTCAGGCGCCGCTGTCTTGTGGCGTCCAAGTATATAATATCCCTGCTTGTGGTTTGTTTTTTTGCTCATTGGTTTTAAAATCTGAAAATGTGTTTTTTTTCCCGTTTACCCACAGGCCACCGAAGATACGGTCGGAGTAAAACGGTTGCCCAGAGACTTTGCTGAGCAACTGCGCTTCGACGAGTACGCCCAACAGACAATCACCACTACCTCCAAGACCACCTCCACCACCACCGACGAGTATAGGCCCGTGGCTTTGGACAAGATACCGGTACCTTCGTGCGGCGGACATTTGACAGGTGAGAATTGAATTAATAATAGGTACTAATCTTAGCGTAAATAGCAACCAATATCCAATATCAATATAATATTGGCTATTGGTATTTTAAATGCGCCCGAGACATCGATTAGCTTCTGTTTAACTATTATATTTATTCGGTCGTGACACAAATCGAGCAATATACGAGTCTTATTCGTGGAGGAGCACCGCTAATGAAGTAAATGAGACGAATGGCATTTTCGTGGTTTTCGCGATCTACTTGCGGAGGCGAATATGTAACGATTTATCAACGTACGCCGCACATAAATATTTTTATTTCTGTCTTGTTTTATATTATTTTATACCTCCGTAGGAATCCCCGTGCACTATTAATCTTGTGATGCGACCTATCTTTCTCTCCCGAAAAAATAAACATAATTTATAATATTACCGCAGTGAGATAAATCATCGGTAATATAATAGTATGTATGTGGGTACATTGCAAGGGTCTTTCGACCTACTACAATTTTTTTATCTACTCAAGAGACTCGAAAATTTTTCTAAAATGGAAATTTCGAGTTCGGTACCCATAATCTCTTGAAGAAACTTCATGACAACAATCTTTTATGAATTGTTTATGTTAAAATAATATGTTTTGTTAATTTATGATTAATTAAGGAATACAATTTAAATATAAGTTTATAATACCTATAAATATTGAGTGTTGACTATTTGAAATAAAGTTAAGAGTAATGAAATATATTCCAAACTTTTATAATACTACTGAACCAAAAAGTATTAAGGTTGCATTCAAAATTAAAAATAAAATTTTTAAATTCCATGATATTATACTTACATTTTAGAAATGTCCTAAAATGTCCGAAATTTAACGTCTGTATCCGCAGACAATGGGCATACAAATATATTGTATTCAGCCGAAACACCCACTAAATCATAATAGCGCGTGAATGGCACGCGTTGGCACGTGAAATCGCATATCGTTTTTGAATCGGAACAGCCTCCTATTCATCATTATTTATTAAATCGTATAAAATTATTATTAGCCGCGATGGAAAACTCGTGCATGTGAAACATTTAGCAGCTCTCGTTTACACGTAGAGCAGCGACATTTGGCCACATCTTCCGGCGCGACAATATATCTATATAATAATAATAATTATTTTCCATATTTTGAAAAAGAAATAGGCAAAATCGGCGTGTGAGAGGTTGCCATATGATGAAGTTTCTTGCACTAAAAACGCGTTTTCTTCAACTGCCTATGATTATTAAATCATATATATCAAAGTTACGATAAGACGTGTGCCTAAAAAAAAAAAAAAAAATTAATTTAGACATTCAAATATTATACATTTAATTAAATAGAAAGATATACCGCTGCATTTTTTGTGTAAAGACTCATTTCTTCTAATCTTAAGCATTCATTTACCTATAGGAAAAACACGAGCTACATTATTTATAGTGGACAATATTTTGTAGATAATATATTTTAATTCAGTTTAGTGCGTAACAAAATAGTTACAGCAGCTTAAAAAAGTAAAAAATGATTTTAAATTGTATAATAGATAAGAAAATTGAAAAGGGATTTGATACCATCCGTTTTTTTGACTAAAACAAACATATGTTTTTTCCTTTGTACAGATAAAAACTAATTATACTATAAAATAATATAATATAATATATTTGTTTATAAAATCATGTTGCTCAAAACGTATTAAAAAACAATAACTTGAGTATGTAAGTATTTTTTCATATGGTAGAATTAAATAAATACATTATTTACCTAATCTTAATGAATTCTTCGATGACGATCCGGATCCTGCATTTTACTTAAATATTCTTATAAGAATTGACTAATCATAGTTGTAATCATATTTAATAAAAATCGAATATTAGGCCCTAGTGGGAGAAAGTGACTGCCCATAGTATCCTCCCTTAAATACCCCTCAGGTTAGCGCATGCGGGTGTGTGTGAGGACCCAGACATCTATTTTATTTTAGACGCACTAACAATCTTACACGTTCACAGAATGTGCACTTAGAAAGTTGCCTAAATTTAGTCCCTTAGAAAACGGTGGTTTTAGAACAGCCTTTGTCTTAGACAATAATATACCATCATCACGCTACTAGAAAATGATTTAATTTGCCAATACACTGTCGTATATTGATATTAACTTATAGTTAACCGCGCAACATTTTTGAAATCAAATTTTAATTCATCATGATCAATTTTACTTTAAAAAGGTTTGCTTATATATTTTAGTTAAATTAAATATTTGAGTTAAATATTATTTTTTAATTTTTAATATTTAGTTTGGGTATAAGGGTATAATAGTTGAATTTTAAAATTTTCTGAAGTCGTTTTTAAGGTATAGTCGTCCGTCTTTGTGATTGTAGACAGTCTGTACTATATTGGCATGCGATAGATATTTTTTTTGGAAAAATCACAACAGATCGATTCCCTTTAAACAAAAATGGATAAGTAGGTATGTCCTTTCTCCAAAATTATTTAAAATTTAAAATCGCATTGAAATAGTAATAGTCGATCTGCATCCATATTATCGTACGTTAATGCATTTCCAATTGGATTTTGTGATTATACGCAACGATAACGGAATAGAACTACTTGTAATAACTAATTTGAATTTTGGTATTGATATATATATACATTTTAAATTTCTTTAAAATTATCTATGGTTATATCTTTACTGTCAATAAACTTTAGTTTGGTCCGTAAACGTAAACCATTCCATGACTGAAAAAAATCTTTTCTCGATTTCCTATGAAATTCATAAAAAAAATTACGAATACCAGTTCAAACTGCAGTTTTCTACATGTAGAATGTACTTACAATTTTGATTTTGATTTTCAATCTATTGAAATCTATATAATTAATTCTAAGCCATCCTCACATCACCGTCATCTAGACTCAATGAATTTTAAACTATTACACTCAATGATTTGTCGGCATTAATAAGAGATGAGTAATATATATTTATCACTTAAAAATAAGATCATTTAGAAGGTTCAATTATTTTAGGTTAGTTTTATAGAGGGACATTCTGGGATATTTGAAAAATTTTATTTTTGTAAATTAATATTGCAGTGGTACCTAACTAAATTACAAATTGTTGCTGCAATAATGGCCAACCGTGTTATAATTGACCTAAAGGGCTTTTACTCTGCTTCGTTGCCGTTGAATTGACAAACATTTTGATTTCACACGAAAATCTACTAATTATTCGAAACCAACCTACTCGTATAATTATTGTTATGTGCGTAGCTGCACCATTACTTAGACGGCCGAGATTAATAAACAGTCAAAAATTTGATTACATTCCAAATCATATATATGTATACCAAAGAACAATTCACAAATAGTCAAGTTTCGAGGTTGTTCTATTTTAAAAAGCATTTTCCCCTAAAAAGTTTGGAATATTTAAATGAAATTAGATACCTACTTATTACCTATCTGATGTGTTTTCACATATTATCTTATTAAGACCTCGAACGAAATTGCATTTAACTATAATACTGTGACGATCTCGCTTTATGTTTGAAATCAAAGGTGAGCAAGTGGATGTCGCTCTGCTGTACAGTAGGTTACAAGTGGGTCAATGTATAATAGATGGTATTAAATTTGAATTCAATGATATAATATCATTGTATAATAAAAACGAATCTGAGCGGAGAAGGTATGTCAGTCTAGGTATAAGACATATTATATACTTATCTGTGGTATTAAAAATAAAATTGACCTATAATAGGTACCTATAATAAATTCCAAATTAATCATATCACAATATCCATTAGGTACTTATAACGCGTTATACATCAATAACAAACCGTGTTACTATCATAAATATAAAGTAGTATACTTTAGAAGTTTCAAGTACCCACCAATAATATTATACAATCACAACAAAATAACTAAAATAGTTATTCTAGGTTTTTCATATGTAATTTTGTCCAAATTTGAACTTAAATTACTATAAAAATAAACTGAGTTGATGTATTTTTTAGATTTTTTTGGTAACAGAATTAACTACTTACGTGGAATCTTGTTTTAAATTTTCAATCCTTAGATATAAAAGTTGAACATTTTATAAATTTTTCACTAAAAAATAATTATTCAATTTTAAATTTGTTAAATTTTGTCGTTTCGATCTTTAAATGCTTATAAAAAGAAATCGTGCCTATGAATTTTAAATATTTTTAAACTGATATTGTAACAATGTATCAGGAGCCTTGTATTAAATTTTTACACTTTTTGGCCTAACAGATAAAACTTTGTTGATATTTATAGAAATAAAAAAATTGAAAACTTTAATTGTCCGTTAACAGCTCAAAACAAGTCAAAATATCTAGAAAATGTTTTCAAGTATAAGAATTGATAAAATGAACATTCAGTGAAATTTTCATGTATCCACAGTTATTCGTTTTTGAATTACAACAAAATAAGGAAATCGCTATATGAGAAATCGAGTAAATATTCAATGTTGTATACAATTTGAATTTCAAAAGCTCATAAAAATTTAATTTGACTTTCTTAAAGACATTTTTTTTTTGATAAAGGTAGATAATTTTATAAGGAATCTTGTTTTACATTTTCAAATCTTAGATTTAAAAAGAAAAATTTTTACGAATTCTTAACTCAAAATAATTTGCTAATTTTCGTGATTTTTCCATATTTTGTCAATTTTTGAACTTTTAATGCTTATAAACAAAACTTTGACTAAGCATTTTTATTAGTTTTTAATTATCATTGTATCAATATAGTAGGAGGCTTTTATTAAATTTTCAAGTTATTGAAAAAGTTTTATTGATATTCATAGAAAAAAAAAACTAATGAAATTGGAATCCGGAAATGGCCTTTAACATTTCAAAACAAATCAAAATATTTTGAAAAATATCGTGAATAGAAAATGCAAATATTAGCAACCAGTTAAAATGTCATATATCTATGGTAATATGTTTTAAAGTTATACCAACAACTAAAATCGATTTTATGTAAAAATTCCCGTTTTCCTTAATTTTTCTTTTGTTTTTCACGGCGCTTTTGAAAATTACTGAGAATTTTAAATTGTGACCTCTTTAATGCACCATTTATATTCACATTCCCATCAAACAAGATAATGAAGTTGAAAATCGAAGCATTATTTCGACTACTTAACGTGTGACACAGACTCAAAAGTAAAAAAAAAAACTCACATCATTATAAAATCAATACATTCATCGTTCCCCTCAGAATCTAAAAAATAAATACTATACTATAGATATATGTTTTGTCATTATAATATAATATGAACTATAGATTCAGATTTTATGAAAAACTGTTACCCCAACGACCGCCGTAAATTAAAATTTATCTTAAGTTTATTGACGATTAATATTGATTCGATTGTATTTCTAATATAGAACATATCACACGAGACAGTTGTAAATAATTATGAAAATAATTCTGAATTAAATTCTTATGAATTTTGGTTCAAAGAAAAAAAAAAAGTATTTAAAATTTAAATGCATTATTAATTATTAAAATATATAATTTTAATTTTGATCGTATGGATGGAAAATTTCAGAAATAAATAATAATTTTAATTAGTCAGTCAAATTAAACGAAAATAATAAAAGAGAAGTTTAAAAATATTTTTAAATTGGATCGTCTTGAAATATTTCTCTAGTCGTTTGCCGCAATATAACATTAAATAACGTGTCATGATATTATCTATCTTCAGTAGGTGGCTTATAATATTATTAGTATATATTTTTTTTATTTAACGTTTGACAAATGTCTGATTAAGATAATACCAGATTAAAATATGTAACTTCCTTGTTAATTTCAGTTTTATCAAATGAGCCTTAAAGGCTTAAACGAGCCATTTTTATTTGGTAAGGTACAATATTTTCAGTGATTATGAATACGAATGTATTCAGTAAGTAAATGGTTTGTTATTACTCGACTTACAAGTAATAATATAATTTTATATAACAGCGTTTACCCACTACGCAGGCCATTTATGTTTTAAATTTTAATGTTTACTATAATTTAGTTTTAATATTTTATTTTTTTTTTTTTAAAAATAGCTTAAACGTGAAATCAATTAAGTACAATTATAATAATTATTTTATTCATTTGTAGGTAGGTACTTTACACAAACACTCACATTTAAATTTCTTACCCGACATTGTCTGGTTATACATTATATTATTATTTTAATAGAATACGCGTGTTATGAACTGCGTTTTAGCGTTTACCTTTGAATACCATGCCAAGAATTTTTTATATTTACCATTAATCTGAACACTTTTTTTCTTTCCGTTTTTTATAGAGATAGTTTTAAAAATAATGTTTTCTTTGTGACAAAAAAAAATATATGTTTCATTAAAATATTATAAACATCTTACAATTTTATTTTTACAAATGTTATTTATATTTTATTCGTGTAATCTATTTAATATTACCTAATAAGGTATAATATTTTTGATAGGAAGATTATGATTTCTTTAATAGCGTTACCGCTATTTATTTTTGAACTTTGATGTTATAGGTTACATGAAAAGATCTTGTTTACCATTTTACATTAATAATAATTGTTTATACATTTTAACAAAACTGATATAAATTATTTAAAACCTAATTTAATTTTCCAAATTGGCGTAGGTACATCAAATTCATCTATAAATGTATTTATCGATAACAATTATTCGTCATATTATTACTGTTCTACAGTATTATACCTATATAATATATTTTTTTAGTGAAAATATTAAATAATATACCTATCATAATTATTAATCATAGATATAGACATAAAACAGATTGTTAAGTACATTTTTTTTTATTTGTAAATAACATGCTATTGAAAATATGCTTCATTCCTACTTTGGTTGAATACCTACTGTTATTATTGAATATATAATATAATATAATATTTTTAATTGAATTTTGAGATATATTCTTTTGGATATTCATAATTATTTTAAAGGTATTTTGAAACAAATATAAAAATAATGTTGAATGCCTAAATAAAAACCTTATATAAATATCAATAAAAAGAAACTAAAAATAAACTTCATAAAGATAGCCGATCTCACAGCGAACATCCAGAACAATGGATCAACAATACTTCACGCTAGCACTATTAATTACTAAAGTAAAACTAAAAAAAAAAAAATTTTAATTCGAATTGTAAACTAATTTTGTAATAAATTGTAGGCTAATAAACTATGTATTTGAAGCTTTAATTAAAAAAGGAAAAAGAAAAAAAAGAAACTAAAAACTAATATTTACAGAAACTAGCGAAAAATAAATCGAAATTATATGTATTAAACTCTTATATAGGTACGTGATCAGAGAATTTAAATCTATATTATGTTCCAGTTTGGAAATTTTCTAGAGATCACATTTTAAAGTTTGAAAAATAATATGGCAACTGCTAGTCCGATTAATCCAAAAATGGACTTGCATAAAAAGAAACTTGTTATATTTATTATTTCAAAAATTTAGCATATATCAAAGTAAAATACTCAATAACTATTTATGTTTACTTTGAAATGAGTGGTTATAGAATTTGTCAGCAAATAGTTAAATAATCTTTATCAACTTTACTTTCAATACTAGTTGTACCAGTAAAAAAGCAATTATTATTATTTTAGTAGATAGTTCAATTTATATTTAAGAATTTAGGACCTTAACTTAGTACTATTAGGTACTTGCATTATGTATGTCATTACTCGATAAAAATGACTTGTTAAAATAATAATTAAAGGGTCATCTATTGGGATGTATACCAACTTGTTTAATTGTATTGTCTTTATGTTTGGGAATATTACTTAATACGCTTATTTGTTGTTACCTAATATATAAAATCGGCCCAATATTATTATACAATTTATTATTATAATTGATAATATATTATTATCGATCTAAGTAAAAAAATAATAATAACTCCACGACTGTGTGTGTATAGTATATCGAAGCAGGAGTTGCCTATTTAAACTGTGTAAAATACAGGTACATTTGTGATACGACATAACTAATTTTCTAATGCATCAATCAACTCCTAGTAAACTCCAAAACACATCAGAAATATTGTGTAGAACGTGCTTTTGTAAAAACCATAAAAATCGTACGTTTATAAATTAAGTTATAAATGAAAAAGTGAGAACTTTTTAATGGAAATTTATATTAAATTCAGAATCACGGTAGCCATCGTCGTAGTTGTCGTCGCATCAGCGTTGACAATGTTAGTAACAATATTACCGTTCTTATAGATTATTTTGTATATACTCAATATTTAAAGATAAAAATTAGTGATATCACAGCAAAAACCCTTCTTAAACTATACGTGTAAAAATGGCTAAGTTAAAAAAAAATATAAGGTGTTTTACACTATAAAGATGTGATATATATTTAATTTAAGTAGGTATAAATAATAAATATTAATAATAATATTTTTACTATAATAATAAGTTATATTTTAATAGCCCTTCACAATTTAATTATTTTGTTCATCACTCTTTGTTTCTTTTCAGAAATAATTCTTCACCCAGCAAATAAATTATTGAAACAAAATAAGTTTACTTAAATTCAATATAGGTATATCACATCTTTATAGTGCTTAAACATCTTATATTTTTTTTTTGCTTAGCCAATCTTACACATACCTAGTTAACGAAGGGTTTTTGTTGTTTTATTTATCATAAATCATAATATTTATTATCATTATACATCATTATCGTAAAACCATACAATTTTATCGTACCGGTGCATACACTTTTTTTTAATATAAACTTTATCAAACAACAATTTGCAAGGCTGGGCAAGTAAATAGTTTTTTTAAACTCAGTTAATTTAAGTTAATATGCATCAATAACAAAAGTTAAAAGTTAAAATTTAATTTAACTATAGGTTAACTCAGTTAAGTTAAAAGTTAATAAATACACATTTTTTGTTAATTTTTTATTAAGTTAAAAAAAAGTTATATTGATTATACAAGTCTAGCGTACTTAATTTTTTTCCAACCCAAAACTAAATTATAGACTATAAAAGTATAGTACGGTAAGTAATACGTTATTTCCATATTGGTTAGATTCGAATAATATACATTTTTAACTTTAAACAATTCTTCAATATTTTTTGACATATAAACGAAATAGACCGAAATAGTGAAATATAATAAATTTAAAAACAAAATAAATTGACTTAACTTACTTCTTAAAATGCAAAATTAATTCGTTAATTTCAAGTTAATTAAAAAAGAAATTTAGTAAGTTAACAGTTAAGTTAATGAAAAGTCAAAAGTAACTAGTCAAGTTAAAAAGTTTAAATTAAATTAACTTTTTAACTTAACTTTAACTTATTAACTCGTTAACGCCCAGCCTTGATAATATGTCTAACAAGACATCAAGACAAAACCTTCTGAATGCAATCGATTGTAAATGAATACATAAAATAAAACCAAATTATAAGTGTTTAAACGTCGTCGGAACAGTCTCGGTGGTTCGATTATTGCTGTATTATCATAACACTTGGGTGTTCCATTATTTGTTCCGCTCTGAGATTTGGCAACCATATGACTATTGACGTTATGATAATGGCCAGTTTCATGCGTAAAACCAATAGGAACGTTTTTATCTACTTCACTGTAGTCGTCGTCGTCGTCTTTATTTTTTTTTTTAAATCTCATTACACGAATATTAAATATTATACGTCTCAGAAATGTTTAACGAGCGATGAAAACATCAATGGACATTAAAAAGTTGAACTGACTATACACGAGACTATACATCGTGACCTGAAACTTTCATCTGGAATTGGTATATAATTATATTATGTTGGTGGCATTATATTCGAATCATCCAGTTCAGATCGATTACATTTATATATCTTAGATAGACAATACAATTAATTGAAATTATTAGAATACGGATAGCCTTAAAAAATAAAATGATTGGTATTTACAAACATTATTAAAATGCATTGATTAAAATTTTATCTGTTTTATTCCACATGATTTGTGCAGTATTTTACTTTGACGTGAAAGACAATATTATAACCAGGGCTTGCTATTTATTTTTTCTTATTACACTTTTGGTTTTGAATTTTTCCGATTGTAATTTTGGTTTTGATTTTTTTCTATTTTGTTTTCAGTTTTGGTTTTTAACGGTTTTAACCGGTATTCAAAATCGGTATAAAATATCGGTTTCAAGCCCTGATTATAACATATATATTATTTTATTATAAGAATTATGGACCATAATATAATATGTTCAATGTTCATAAATTAGAGTAGGGTCAGACTGTTCGAAAGTCGAAAGTTTTAAACCAAACCAAACTGAACTCAATATAAAAAGTTTGAAATTCTATAATTAATCAGGATTCTAAAACAAAAACCAAACACGTTGAACGTTTTAAACTAAAAATGTATTTGGTGTTTTTACTATTACCAAATAATAAAAACGAAAGTATAAATAACGTTATACGCTATTTTATGATTTTTTAAATCCTTCTGGAAAAATTTAATTTCAAAAATAGTAAAACTACACCTGTTATGTATCCAACACCTGGAAATTAAAAGCTTGGTATGACTTTTTGTATAGCTTTTGGTACAAACTGAGCACTATCAATCGCCAGCAGTGTTATTTTTCCGAAAGCAACTCAAATTGGATGTGAATTGGTGATACATCAATAATTATCTCCAGCAACATCCCCAAATTAAAATCCATATGCGTGTATCTTTTTGTAAAGCTTTTGATATAAACGATTAAACTCCCTGTACCTATGACGATTAAATTACTAGCAAGAAACGAAGCACAACCGATCGGCTGGTGTTTTATTTTCTGTTTTTACAAAAGCTCAAAGTGATTGGTGGGGGGAGGGTGGACACGAAGACCAGCAAACGTCCGTGCCGCACGGTTCATTAAGCACGTGCGCTCCCGTTGCCGAATATAAATTATCATTATTATTTTTATCGTCTCCGCGGTCGTAGTTATCGTTATGATTATAAAAATATAAATTTTACACGCCCGGTCGTATATTCATTCGGACGTAAAAAATAAAAGATCCTCTCCGCCTCTTTCTCACTCTGTCCGTCTCTCGCACGCTCTCACTCTCTCTCCCGATGCGACATGGTTTTAAAATTAGACCACTTTCGCCGGGGCACACTTCATATTATTATTATAATATGTCTCGGATAGGTGTGCGTGTGCGATGCGATATACGCAATTATCCCTATTAATATGTCGACCGCGACCCCCTCTCCCGTTTTCCCTTTTTTCCTCGTCTTTTTTTGCGCCGAAAAAAAAATAATAGTAATAGTAATAATAAATTTAAATTAATATCCCGACGCCGCCGCCGCCGCGGTCGCCATTGGCTTTTGGCCCGCCGAATTCCCGGCTGTGACCCTCCTTTTGATGTGCCCGCCGACCCTTCGAGATAAGGCGATAATCCGGTCCAGATATCAGTCGCACCGCGGACACGCTTTTACACGCTTCGTAGACTTCCGTCACCGTCGTACCGTCCCTGTCCCGCGCGGTCCTACATTGTACCGCATTATACCGCGTACCGTCGTCGCGTTGCCACATTAACAATATGGTGTACCTATTCCACTTCGAACTCCCCGTAGAGGAGGCCACGTGGACGTCCCTGGCCACCGCTTACTGGCCGTACCTCAAGAGCCTGACCGTCAGCGAAGTGGATGCGGGCGCCGCGTCTGTGATGCACCTGTCCCGGGCCTACGATGCCGTGGGCCCGCGGCTTGAGCCGTCCGGTGGTGGCGACGAGGTGGTGGCGCAGGGTCCGAGACCGTTTGTAATGGAACTGACGACGGTCATTCCGAAATCTCGTTTTTGACGTTCTACTACGTCAACACCAAAAAAGGTATAATCGCGTTCGGCAGCTTTGCGCCCGTTGTCGGTTCGTTCGTTTGATTGTTTGTTTATTTGTTTGTTTGTGTGACGCACACATGTGCACATGTGACTGTCCACATGGACAACTTTCGTTCGGCAGTTCCAATTTTGGTTCGTTGGTTTATCTATTAGCTTATCAAATTATTAAAATTAAAGATATCTGTTTTTCTAAAGTCTTTTGCTGTGATATTTTCATTTTAAAGCGAAAGGATTCGATCATTTCTAAATTTTTATAATTCAAATTAAAAATTAAAAGATTGCAAAAAAATGTTCTTACAATTACAGTTAATGTAATAATCTGATGGACAGCGCTTTCCATATCACCCAAAAAACACAAAGTGAATCGTGAATAAATTAGGTACCTATATACTACAATTTGTTTGTTTCTTTCGTCAACCACAATATTAATATCGCAGCCCTAGGACCGTGTCAATCGTATCAATCAATAATCATTAATAATCAAGGAACCTACTTTTGAAATATCAATGATAATTAGCCACTAATATAGGTAATATTAATTTTATCGTAACATATTTTTTTATTCGGCCGTTGAAACTCACCGTTCTTTTTCCTCCATAATCAACCATACATAGGTATAATACGTCCATAGCATTGTGTCATCCACATTGCGATCGTCAATAATCAATAATATTAATCACGTACAGTGCAGTACTTGTCCCCAACCTCACTGACTTAACTTTACGAAATGTTATTTTTTTGTACAATTTACAATTTTATTAGTAGGTAGGCCTACTCCATTCCTATGAATTACTAAGAAAAAATTCGCAGGAAAATAAGATATTCCACGGTTGGGTCTTTAGCAAACACTCGTTTTTTCACCCCCACCCATGACTAATAATAGGTTTTTCGAATATTATATTAATCAGTGACCCTTACTGAAAAATGTACTATTATTATTAGTTACTAATAATATTCATTTTATCGTAACAATTTTTCGGCCGTACCATACTTTGTCTTTTGTCTCTGTCTGTCTGTCTTCGCTCTCTCTCTCTCTCTCTGAGCGCTGTCTATGAGTTTATAGGTCTACGTACGTTCTTCTTACCTCTGCGTTTGACGATTCGTTCTGATATCAAAACTAAAGCTGTAGGATTTTTTGACGGAGATGACACACGCGGGCATGGCACGTCCTATCTCAGAAACAGTCGATGTGACGGCGTTTGGCCATCTGCCGATTGTGTAGATCGCGAAACACGAGCGCGACAAAACCATCAATCGTCGGGCGATTATGATGGCGACGATGAATACAATATAATATGATGTTATTTTAATGGCGGCGATGAGATGATCTCGTGATGTTACCTGAATCACGTCCGTTTTCGTATGCACCGATAATAATTCACTGCGACGGGATCCGACGGCGCACGAAGAGACTTTGACCAGACATTATTTTATCGAAATGGTCGTACGAGACTGAGTAAAATAATCTTTGCACCTGGTGATAATGATGATAATAATTATCGAGTTAACGAAAACGTTTTCAGAGTTGTACTGCACATCATGTGTGTTTTAAGTATACTCAAGACACACATATACTCAATATAGGTACAACGCCTCACTATTATTGGAGTTCCATGGTCGTCTAATTAATATAATTTTTTTGAATCGTTACAATTATTTACACTTTGTAATAGCACCATAAATTATTACATCTACAGAACCACGTAAATCATATTATTTCAGTCTTCGATTTCCGACTTTTGAACATCATATTTTTTCAGTTCAATGTGCATATTATTTTCATATTCCAACCTCAATTATCTTCTTGATGTTTTTTTATTTTCAGCATACGAGTATTACAGAGAGAGAGAGAGAGAGAGAGAGAGAGAGCTTTTGCTGTATAATTGTTTTTTTTTTCGAAATTGAAAGTTCAATAAAAGTTTCATTACTTATATGTTTTATTGTATAGTAAATCATCTATGAAAATTATTAAATGGTTGAAGCGATTTATTGTAGTTAACGATAGTTCTTGAAATTTCTCTTAAGATTTATGCACAATCACGGGTAACTAATAAGAAACGATTAAAATAGAAATGGACATAACCAATAATATAGCGTCGCTCAGAATTATTTCTGAATTCAAAAGGGATTTGATTCCAAATAATGTCCTAATATGCGTATGCCCTATAGTAAAAAAAAAAAATACCTAATAATATTGACGTTTTTATTTCAGCATTTTATTTTTGTTAATATATTTTTGTATATTATATTATATTTTAATAAATTTATTTTTATAATATTTTTGTTAATATCTGATAATATTATTGTTAATTTATTGGAAATGATTATTTGAAATAAGTTTTTATAGATAAAAATATCATTATTGTGTTATGGTCCAATTAAATATAACAATCAACCGACGGATAACGATTTATTTTCATTTAACTATTTGAATTCATTATTCACCAACAAATTAATAACCGAACAATATCCTAAGCAAGTAACCTCAAAATCACACGTTTGTCTATTCAATATAATAATAATAGAAACATAATAGATCTTTTTTTTTCTTATAGGTATAGGTATATATATTTTCCTCTTGTTGGGTTACGTGTAGATACTGTCGTTTATTGAGCACTTGGAAATTTCCTTTGGTGTCCAATGTTACCGTGCCCAACGTAAATGGGTCGAAAAACAAAATGGTGTGTATCGGACGCAATCGGAACATACTGTTCAATGCTGGTCAGATTAGAAATCGTTTGCATTAGCCGGATTTACGTTGGACACCGCGTTATCAACAAATATCGTTTGCCATCAATCTACAGATATCGGCCAAATCGTCGACTTTGGCTATATTATAATTTTACAGTCCAGTATCGATAAATCAAATCTCGAGGGGATTAAAAACAAATTGTACTTATGTATTTTTCGTGTTATATAAGTAGGTACCTCATCACAACTTAAAAAATACTTCAAGGAGCTAAGAAAAATAATTCGATTTATCGAGGATTTCGAGTTATTATGGTTCTTGTTATCAAACCTTGAGTGTAAATATAGTTGAATTCAATATTATGTAATAGCATAGAACAATATTCGTATTAATCAATCTAGTCATGTGAAACATGCTTTCGTCTAAGTAAATTTTTTTTGTCTGTAATGTGTACGTGCTGACAAACCTAAAAATAAAGTTCTCAAGCCTCTAACGTTGACACATCGGTTGGGAGCTATTTGTCATTCCTACACCGACCAGATAATAATAAATATAAGTAAACTATATTTTATTCACATAACAAACAGGGGAAAAACAAAATTTTAGTTTTATAATGATGTGAATATTTCACCCTCAGATGTCTTGAAGTATATCGTATATATATATAAAATACCAACTGCACTCACACTCATCGCTATTTCCCAAAAACATAACAAAACGTATAAACTTGAAATTTTGAACATTTTGGTTATTCAAATGCTCTAGATGTGCAATAGGAATAGATTTTAAAAAAATTAAGGCAGGGCTTACATAGGAATTTTGTTTTTCAAACGGAAATCTAATATTTTTTTGTATATTAATTATATGGTTGCCGTTATTTGTTAGTAAAATTTACAGAAAATAAAATAGTTATTACGATTGGATATAATTTTCAATATTGTATAATGTATTATATATTTTATAACTGCCATGGATACTTTATATAAATACCTATAATTGGTAGGTAGTTATTTGAAAAACCCTTGATTTTCTAACGGGTTTTGGTAATATGTCGGCTGTTACGAAAGATCGACTGAGGAATACTTGTTGAATCACTCTGCATATGCACCAACAATACTTACAAGTATTATGCTTGGGTATTTGTCGAGTGATATATGTTTTGAAATTATTCAAAATATAATTAAATGTAGTTATACAAGACAGATACAAGTATACGTACATTTAGAATTAGTCTATAAATAATTTAAAACCATACATTTGAAAAATAATAATTTTGGAAAGCAATGGTACATATTCAATATCAGCTACCTAGTATCTGAATAATAATATATATATTACAATAAAAAGATTGAAAACTTTACCAATTTAAAATTTTTAATTTTTTTCAGCTGATATTGCGATGCCGAGCGGTAAACGAGACCAACCGTCCGTCGAGGATAATCACGATGGAACAGTCTCACTTAAATACGATCCCAAGGAAGAGGGCTTGCATGAGTTGTTCGTTAAGTACAACGGAGAAAACGTTCAAGGTAAATTCATTATCCGTCACAAGTGTATAATCATTTTCGTCGTAGGTACAAAGACAACATAGATTATAATAATATTATTATGGTTCGGCCTCTGCATTACAATTGTGTGAATTTCAAAAAAGTTGCAATAATTCATATAAAAATCCAATTTTAGAAAAATTGCGTTTCTTGCAAATGCATTGCTCGGCTGTTGAAGGTTTTCAATTCTATTTCGATTTCATATAAAAATACTTTACGCATAATATTGTGTGACAAAAGCTAAAAAAAAAAATGTAAATACATATACATTATTGTACACACTTTAGATTCTCACAGAGAATTATAACCAACGTCCCCTACACTTTACGTCATTAGTTTTTATTATAATGGTCACTCGCTGCGAACGAAAATAAACTTTGTATTCTCCATCCGATCGCAATAATTATTATGTATATACATCAGCCTTCTGTGGCTTAATATCAGTGTTATTCGGCAAAAAGATTCTGTAGTGCTCGTGCCAATTTTTAACGTTTGCTTATGAATATCAGAAACGCCATTGAAAAAAATAAATAAATGTCATGTACAATATAATGCAATTTTAGAATGCACGATGGAACTAATTAAAATTAATATTTTCCACCTGAGTATTATTTTACATTTATTTATGGAACTCAGATGGGAATATCCCGACGGCCACTTTTTTTAAAAAAAAAAAAGAAAGAAAAATAACGTATAATATTATGATAATTATTATGAAATCTTGACTAATTGAGTTTATTTTTATCGTAAAACATACTATGTACAAACTCTTATTTGTAACCGTTTTATTTACAAGACAAATGTAAAAAAACATGTTTTTCTGAAATCACCTAAGTATTAAATTGGGCGATTTATTTAGCGTGTTAAGTTTTTGACTTCAGAGGCCAATATACTGGCAATACAGTTGCTATAATGTAAAAGATCACAAAAAAAAACAACACATACACAGCATTTTTAGGAATTCATCTGTGTCACCACAAATTGAACATAAAAACTAAAAATACGTGACAGCCAAATTTTTTATATTTTTTTATGATTTTTCTGTCCTTTAAACTTGACGATCACGACTTGGAAAAGAAAGTGTGTGGATATCTATAAAAAAATTTAATGTTATTATAATCACAAGTAGTTCATTTTTACCATATTCCCGGTACTAGTGGTCAGAAATTATAGTGTTATAATTATTCATACCCATAATAACCTTCTCATTAAAGTGATAACTTAATTTTTTTGGTAAATTCGAAAAAAAAATTGTAACACAAATTGTCTTATTTGTAACAAAATAGCTGCATCTCGTGTGAAACCTTTTTTTTTACGATTATTTCGTAGGTCTAGAAACTAAAACGGCATTGGAACAACAAAAATATTAAAAATTCAAACATATTATAATAATATTATTGTCTTATAATCAGTTCGTTTTTAATGTTGATTTCAATATTAAAAAAATAAAAACACTATTATAGACGTTGCACCCCATTGCGTAATACAATGTCCGTACAATGTGGACTTCCGCTGAAAGCTCACAAAATATGAGAGGATATAGTATATGAGTAGTAATGATATACAACAAACGTTGTTTTTGTCCGTCAAACAGGTTCGCCATTCAAATTCCACGTCGACTCCATCACCAGCGGCCACATCACGGCTTATGGGCCGGGGCTCATGCACGGCGTCAGTGGAGAACCGTCCGACTTTACCATATACACGAAAGGAGCCGGAGCCGGTGCGTACATCAACATTTTATAATTATTATTATATTTTATTTATATAGATTACCGTTTGCCGTCACTGCACCATACGGGCCAGTGGTGTATTTCAGTGGGTGGCGATCATACCCATAATACCTAACCCGACCTAGCCAGTCACAGTAATTGTAACTAAAAACCTAACCTAACCTTTTTTTTGGGGGGGGGGGGGGGGTGAGAGGGAGGAGGGGCGGATTCCGACATTTTTTAAATATGTAGACTCCGGATACATATCATTTCAAAAAATAAAAACTATTTATTCCCGTCATTATTGATTTTACTATAATATTATAAAACTATTATTTATACAATAGGTACTTATAGGCTATAGTCAATAAACAATTGTTCACTGCTAAAATGTTTCTACTTTAAAAAATGTTCAGTGGAGGATTTCCGGACCCCCAGACCTCCCCTCTCCAATTACGGCATTAATCAAACACATAACCTAACGAAACTTAACCAGTCACGGTCGTAACTGAAAACAAATTATAGTGGGTCCAATATTGTTATTATATAGATCTGGACACCTATCATTTTTACATTTAATGTAATGGTTTAAAGTGATGGTTAGAAATAAGTAATAACTATTGATGGAATCGTCCAAAATCAAAACAAGTTATCTGTATTTTGCAGTTCAAATTATTCTTTTAAATTGTGTTTTACATTAAGTAAGTAACTTACTGAAATTAAAAGATAAGAAAGCTGAAATATTTTAGAAAAAATATACAAATAAGGATCCTTATAATGAAAAATGTAAAATAGAAAATGAAAGATTTAAATGATTGGAACCAACGAACTAATATTACAACCGGAAAAAACAATAACTATAAACAATACTATTAAGTGTTTATTATTGCACTATTAAGTGCAATTTGGTACACATTTCGCAGCCATATTACACTTAACATCTGATAATTTTTTCTTTAATTTTGTTAGTTGTTCTGTTTGATGTTTACCTAATTTCTTAAGCTCACACTGTTCTTGATGTTTTGATTCTAATTTCCTCTCGAAATTTTGTTTATCTTTATCATATTTTTCTAGCTGTGTCTTTATCATCTCTACTGTTGACTCTGTAGCCTCTTTGATCTTTTTCACTTCTTGTTGTAACTTTTCTTTCACTGGTTCTAATTGCTTAATTGACTCATTATGATCTTTTAATTGGCAATTGAGCTTTGTAGTCTCCATTTGTGCATCACAAAGTTTTGAATTAATACATTTGAGATTTGAGGCAGTTGACTTAACCTCGACTTTAAGTTTTTCAATTTCCTTGTCTATTTTACATTTTTCTTTACAATGTTCCACTTGAAAACAGTTAAGTTCTTCCTTTAATTGTATCGCTCGATTTTTTTGCTCCAATAGTTCAGTTTGCTTATCATTTAATTTTAGTTTGAGCATACATAACTCGTTCGATTTTTCATTAAATTTACATCGAATTTCAGTCATCTCGGCCTGCAATGTCTTGGAAATGTTTTCACTTTTCATTTTTAATTCACATATTGAAGACTGTAAACACTCATAGCGGTCTTGCTCAGTATTATTTTTTTTCTCCATTTCAGTGATCTGTGTTATTTTTTCGGTTAGAGCTTTTTGCATGCATATAATGTCCTGTTCCATATCTTGCACTTCCGATTGCAATAATTGCTGCTTATCTTGTAACTTGTTTGTGATTTCCATAGCTTCTGAAAGTTTCTTTTCTAGTATTTGCTTATCCTCCAAAAGTGTTGAACTAATACAATTCAACTTCTCTAACTTCGTCTGATAGTCATCTAGTTTATTAAGTATTTGTTCGTTTTCGCATTGCAAAGAATTACTTTCTTCTTGAATATCTATCAAATGTCCTTCTTGCATATTATATTTACAATTTAATTCTTTGGTTTCACATAATAACTCGTTTAATATGTTTGATTTTTCGAATTTAATGGAATTCAACATTGCTTGACCTTTTGTGAGCTCGGATCTAAGATAATTGGTTTGAGCAACAACATCTTCGTAATCACAAAGCTGATACTCGAGTTCGTCATTGTAGTTTTCGGTTTCTTCTATTTTATTTTCAATTTGACTTGTATTACTCATAATTTATTAATTTGTATGTAAGTAAATTTTGAAATGAATATTTGTATTAAGTGTTTTATTTAAAAAACAAAATTTAGTACCTAGTTACAATAATTTACGTAATTAATATCTGAACTTAATGATATTGAAATACATAAGCCAAAACATTATTTTTTTTCCATATATAATAAAACGTTGATAGTTATAATATTGTAGGTAAATATATTCGTGTGTATCTTTTTGTCTTTTGATATTGTTTTCATATCCTTTCTCGTTCCAAAATAAAGTAAAAGTATACTTGTGTAAAACAAAACATGTATGCTTATTTTATTGAAATTGTATAAGGTAATGCAGTAAGAATTCAAACTTTTTAGACAATAATTAAAAATATATTGTACATAATATAATATAGTAGTTACTGCACCCACAATAGGCAATTAAAAACACTAAATATTAAAAAAAAACCAGCTCTAAAAGTCGTGGTATAATTTATAGCTAAGTATTTCAACTATGGATATAGTTTATGCTAAAACAGTCTGATAATAATTCAATTTAGGTTGTCCATTTAAAAACATTTTTTGTCTGAATCACAGATACAAATATTGATTTAATCATATCTCCGTCTACTGCAGGTGGTCTTTCGTTGGCAGTGGAAGGTCCCAGTAAAGCGGACATCAGTTGTCACGATAACAAGGACGGCACGGTGTCTGTCACTTACCTGCCGACGGCACCCGGCGAATACAGAATTTCCGTCAAGTTTGACGACAAGCACATCAAAGGAAGCCCATACAATACAAAAGTCACAGGTTCGTGGTCTCCTTTGCATAAGACTCGGACCCCTCGAATACGAGTTCACTTGAGGGCGCGTTTGCCCATAATAATATTAGCTTTGTTATACCGTTTTATATATTATCATATTTACGTGAAAACGGATATTTTTGTTTTTGTATTCTTATATAGGTGAGGGCCGGAAGAGGAACCAGATATCCGTGGGATCATGCAGCGAGGTATCGTTGCCTGGCAAAGTTCTGGACAAGGACTTCCGGCTGTTAAACGCGTCGATCCAAGCCCCGAGTGGTCTGGAAGAACCTTGTTTCTTGAAACGCCTGGTAAACGGCAACTTGGGTACGTAGTTTTTCGGATTCGAGACTCGGGGAGGACTCGCTTTAAACGTAATACTTAAACGTTAATGTTTCCAGGTATTTCGTTCACACCTAGGGAGATCGGCCAACACGTGGTGTCTGTAAAAAGAATGGGCCAGCATATCGTCAACTCACCGTTCAAGATAACCGTGGGTGAGCGAGAAGTCGGTGATGCAAAAAAGGTGAAAGTCACTGGCAACGGGTTGAAAGAAGGCAAAACGCACGTGGAGAATTTGTTTACGGTGGACACTAGGAGCGCTGGTGAGTAATAATAATATATTAATATTATATATTCCTAATAATGTTAGGATAATTATTATAGCATAGTATTATAATATAATATAATAATTATATTGGCCTGTATTATTACATTATGTAGTTTAAGGTTACTTACAGATTAGAACATCTGATATCCTCGCCAGTGTGTCAGTCCGTTAGTTACCTGTAGTACATAGTTATGATTGTTGATATTTATTTGCACACTATAGTTCGTAGTTATTTTATATAATGACGAACTAACGATTATTTTTATCAATCATAGATAATTAATTATTGTGTAACTATTAAGTTTTTAAGATGGATTCAAAAAGCTATTTAAAATACAATACAAAAATAATAAGATTAGGTGGGTACCAAATTATTTTTAAATTGTACTTGGAAGTATTGTTTATTTCTTTATATTATAGGTATAATACCATTGATTATAAATATTTGGTATTTATAATCAATGATATTACGTTTGGAAAGTAAGAATTTAGCACACTTGCTTTCTTAACTTGTTTTTTTTTTAAACCAATGATTGACTTAAATTCACTAAAAAAAAGAAATCGTCGTTTCACTATCAAAAATATTTTCCAAATCATAAAAACATAAATACAATTATACGTAACAACTTAATGCTTATCTAAATCTTAAACATTTAATAGGTACCATTATAACTAAACAAGTGATTTAAACCTGGGTAAGTTATCATAGAAAAAATCAAAGTTGTTTATTGAACTACCTGAGATTAACATTATTTTTGATCGAAGCGAATATACTATAATTTTCTTCTTTTTTTCGAACGGCTTGATGCTTTACAACCTTGCTAGCTGCTCAAGTGCATATTTTTATATAATATCCAATACGACTGTATAATCTGAAAGGAACTGACTATAATCATTTATGTAGTACCTACATTTATAATAATATTAAAAGACGATAAAATGTTTTAAAATAAAAACTAAAATGTTACCTATAAAATATTTTTTAAACATTTTTGAATATGAACTTAATTTACCATTCGGTTACTTACACGTTTTGCTTTTGTGTACCTGCCATAAATTAATTAAATTGATTGTGCCTATTATCATCATAAATAAAATAATTAATTACCAATTAACTAATAATCGTAGTTACAGAAATCTCTTTATCGGAGTACCTATATGATTTCTCTACAGTAGAATATTTTGTGTTTTTTCAAATAGTATAAAATAAAAAATAATCATAAACAGAATATGTGGCTACGATAGTGTGATGTATATTGTATTGGTAATATCATAAATTCATAGCATAATCATTTAACATATTCAATATCAGTTTCTGTTTATTTATTTTATATTGTTCATTTTTATATCGTTTCGAAACAATTAAAATGGTTGGAAATAATTTAAACTACCTTCGCAGTGCAAGAATCAAAAAAATTATTTAATAATTTTATAATATTGGTTTAGAGTCGTATACGATAGAACTGTCTTTATTTGAATTCATGTAAACGTATTAATACTGTTAATTTTATTCATTACGTATAATCAATAAGCAATCTAGATTTAACTATTTTTGTTCAACGTCTGCATAATATTATAATATTGCCATATTATATAGGTTATGGTGGATTATCGCTTTCCATTGAAGGCCCCAGCAAAGCAGAGATCCAGTGTAAGGACAATGAAGACGGTACATTGACCATATCATACAGGCCCACGGAACCGGGATACTATATCGTGAATCTGAAGTTCGCTGACCATCACGTCGACGGTTCGCCGTTCACCGTCAAAGTCACCGGCGAAGGAAGCAACTGTCAGCGTGAGAAGATCGAACGAAGACGGGAAGCCGTACCTCTCACGGAGGTGGGTAGCAACTGCAAACTTACGTTCAAGATGCCAGGTAAGTTAAAATATATAATATTTTTTTTTTTTAAAGCTTTAAGGGGTTTTTAGTTTTATAAGAAGGACATAAGTGACTACTCTTATTTCAAAGTTCCAAAATAGCTAAATAGATATCTAATCCTAGAATTTGAACCAGTGGTTTGGAACATACGCATCTCAGAGTGGCCAAGTTGAAAAACTCGATAAACTTCAAAGTTGATTTACTTATATGTTCGGGTATACAACAGGTTTCACAATTTTTGAAATTGCTAACCACATTGGCTTAGTCTCCTTAGTTAAGCGATGGCATTCAACTGAACTCAAGACACAATGTTCCTGTTTCCATATCCCCTTTACCACTAAAAATTAAGATATAGCTCATTATGTGGCTTGCTAAGTCATGTATCGAATTAGAGAATTCCGATTTTAATTATCATCCAATTTCTAAATTGAAAATATTTATTTTAAAATGGATGTAAATAATTGTAAATTTGTATTATTTTAATATTCTATCGTAAAAATGCACTATATCTTTAACCCTTGCTGGTGTTAAACCATTAAATAAATAAATAATTAATTCAAACAGTCGTCAAATATTTGTCCATGATACCACAGATGATTAAACAGCTTATTCATTATTATGTATACTCGATTATCCTGTATCAAATTATGTTTCACCTGAAAATTGTAGGTGTGCTGCCATACGATTTGTCGTCGACGGTGACATCGCCATGTGGCATCACTGAAGACGCCGAAATCAACGAAATCGAAGACGGCCTCTACGCTGTACACTTTGTCCCGAAAGAATTGGGCGTTCACACGGTGTCGGTCCGGTACAAGGAAGTCCACATACCTGGTAAGTGTTAACTGCGACTGCAGTGATTTTCAATACGACCCACGTTGACCGTCCGTATTGTTTCTGCAGGATCGCCGTTCCAATTTACCGTCGGTCCTATGAGCGATGGTGGAGCTCACCGCGTACACGCTGGAGGTTCTGGTCTGGAACGTGGAGAACAAGGACAACCATGCGAGTTTAACGTGTGGACCAGAGAGGCCGGTCCGGGCTCACTAGCCATATCGGTCGAAGGTCCTAGCAAGGCGGAAATCGATTTCAAAGACCGCAAGGACGGCTCATGTTATGTCAGTTACGTCGTAGGCGAACCAGGTTTGTCAATATTTTTGATAATGTACCTATAACACCAAGGGTGTGAGTACACTAGAGAAACACTATAGAAGGAGCTGAATATCCCCTATTTAGGTTTGATGATTCGTAAAATATTATTTAGATAATCATAACCCTTCAAAAGAACTCTTGGACTATCGGGAAATGTCTGTAATAAAATAATTCATACCTAATTTGAATCCTTACGTCCAGTAGTTATTCTCGTGATTTAAAATTTTTCGTTTCTTCAAGTTTTCAGTACATACTAAATATACGACTGTAATATGACTTAAGGGGGATTGCAAAAGGTCTGTTTTTAATAAGTTGAATGTTGAATATATGTTATGTAAATGTAATAATATTATGTAGGAGTAGTGTGGTGGCATGTGCGTACTACGTACATTATAAATATCATCTTAACGTGTACTTCTACACTTATATATCACAATCGTGTTTTCTTTACTTTTTGTACATCATACTGTTTAATAGATTCATCGGAAAAGACTTCTTAAAGCAGATTTAAATTTTTCCACAACTTTACTTAATATCTGTTTTTATAATTCCTTACTTCAATGTTAAGCCGAGAAATATTTATTATTTCGATTTTAAATAAAGATAAGAAAAAAAGTAAATGAATTTAAAAAAAAAAGGAATAAATTGATGTAAAGGTCAATTTGTTATAAGACTATGAAATAATTTGCTATTATGGACAAATAATTATTTGTACTTGTGTAACCTATACAAATCGTTACACTACACTATACACACCTATTCGAAATGTATTTTTGTTTATTGTTCAATAATATGAATTTTTGTAAATAATTATTTATATTGACTTATACCAGACCCATGATATACTGACTAACGACCGATTTAAATCTTTTATACATGTAGGAAGTCTTTTGCAAAATATTTAGGCATTTTATTAAGTCGATTTTCAATATTCAATTTTAGAGGACCCAAAAATTAAGATTCTTTTCAAAATCCCTTGAAATAATCGCATTACATTCGTGATTGCTAAAAAGCATAGTCTATAGCTTATAAAATCAACCATTTTTTTTAAAATTACAATTGAACTTCAGGAATTATGTTTAATTTACTACCAGTTTTAGTAGTTATGCAAACAAGTGTATATTTAATTTTTCGCAAAGTAGGTATGAACATGTGCAAGGGTGTTCAAGAGTTGCATCCAGTGGTTGTTGCCTGACTCGGCATTAGAGCGATTCTCGATAATACACACTATTATGTAATGTTCATTTACTACTTCCACAAACACATGGCCCAAATAATGTAAAAGTCATGTGAATTGCCTAAATATTACTCCTTAAAACATGATACGCTGGATAGGTGTTTCGCATAAGACTCGTTGTTTATATAAAAATGATATTTAATTTTCCCAAAAATAATTCAACAAAAATGAAAATAAAGAGTAAAATAATTGAGTGAACTATTTTCTAGTTACTACTTTCTAAAGTTATAAAGTATGTCAATTGCATTGTATTATGTTTGCTGTTTCACTCTAATTAATGGACATTAATGCATGTAGTAACAGTTTTAGGACTTGGTACTCTGCCATGGAACCCAAATTACATTTTATGTGGTCTAAATGTGTATAGAGTTGAAATAGGAGAAACAAATTTTTTTTTAAATACATCTCAATCGTTAAACTCTTTTAAATACGGCGTGTTGGTCGAAAGCTTCATAAACAAATGCAAATGGTGCATTTCATTTATTTAAAACGCGTCCAATTTACAATTAGTTCTCTAACTTATTACATTGACGGGTGTTTGACGACATTTTGAAAGTTCATTTAACGGCGTCCTTAGTCCAAGGCTACATAAAAAAAAATCATATTACATTCGATTTGTACATTTGATTTAATTATTTAATTTAAAAAAAAATTGAATGAGTATTTCTGAGTCATTTATTAAACTTTATATACTGAAGATACTATACCTTTAAATGACTTTACTTAAAAAAAAATTCTGTGTGTTACCAGTACGCACGCGGGAAGTGAAGCTTATTTTGAACGGTACACGTGAGTGAGTGAAAAAGAAAGAAATGCATTTGTAAACTGGGATAATGAGGATAATAAAGAAAGAAAAGAAACAATGTAAATTATATTTTTTTTATTTTTATTTTTTTATTCTAATGATTGATTATCATTTTGCTCAATCGGTATAGTAGTTATGATTGGCATATGATAAATAAAATAGGAAACGTACATTTGCGCCTGAACATTATCGATATAACAAAACTGTCGCTTAATGTTATACTTACAAGCAATGTTGGTATTATTTTCACATATTTTCACTTGTCACTGGATAATTTTTTTTTCTACATTAAATTATTTCATTTAATATAGTTGTTTAAAAAACAAAAAACACTTTATACATTTTAACTCCCTAACCAAAAGTTGGATAACGTTGATATCGGTACCAATCGATACAGCGAAAATCCATCTATAAGGTCCAACTACAAAAACGGTTCGACGTGCCTAAAAAAATGTGTCCGTGTAGAAACACCCCGAAAAACGGAAATTTTGAACTTTTAGGGTCCCGGAAGACGGGAAAAAACGTTTCGTACAGTCTCGACACAAAACGCCGAATTTCATCGCCGACCTACATACTATAAGAAAACTTGAGTTTCAGAAACGAGGAACGACACCTCGAGTTTTTTCGAAATAATTTTGAGGGGGGGAGGTCAAACGTACCCCGACTATGGGAGGGCTATTTAGAGGGTCTAAAGTAAAAATTGTTGGTGGTAAAACGAGGTACCCAAGTTGATACTGGACCGAGATATACTTAAATCAAAAAAAAAATGGGATAACTTTCGGTATGTTATACACGTAGCCGCCCAAAACCCATAGCCGTTAATACAGCTACGACAATCCACGGCTGCGCACACGGACATGTACGCGTTCGCGTTCGTACGGCCGACTTTTTTTTCCTCACTACCCTGCGTAAAGAAGTTTCACTTCAAAAAATAAAGGTGATATAGCATTAGTCTAGTAGGTAGGTACTTATTATAGCCTAGAGGTATTGCCTGAGTATTAGGACATTTTTTTTTACAAATTATACAATTTTAATAAATTTATAATAATAATCAAAATATTCAAATCATCATAGCCCACATAAATTCTGTTACCATGGACTTAATACGTTAAGGTTTAATATGCCGGACACTGATCATCATAATTTGCATTACGTTTAAAAAATATAATTTCCTTAATAATTTATAAGACAAAATTATTCTCGTTTGAAAAAAATAAGGTTATTTCACTACAGTATACTCCTTAAATTGTATAAAAAATCTAAATATTTGAAATTATGATCCTTAAATATTCTTAAAAATTCTAAAAATCAGAAATTGAATAATTTCATTATTAAAGGAAAAATGGTGGTAATGTATATGTATTTATACCTTAATGATAAAGATAAATTATAAATATGAATGTTTGTTTCCTCACCTGAGTTTTTAGTTTTCTACGTTATTCAAAATGTAGAATATTACTTTTAAAGTTAAAAAGTATAATTATATTAAAAATAAACCAAAATAAGAGTTTTTTCAAGACGTGTAATCAAATAAAATAAAGTATTTTAAGTTGTAACATGACTAATTTGTATAGATTAAAGTAGGCATCAAAAAAATAAAATCTCGACAAGTGTTAACGTATTAAAACCTGCAAAACATTGAATTTGTACCATACATTTTAAGGACGCTTTCTGCGTTACCATTCGAGGTCATAATATTATAATAACAGTATAATGTTATACCATATATAAATTGAAGATTCAAAACATTTGTCGGTTCTACAGGAGAATATCGAATCGGTATTAAGTTTAACGACCAGCACATACCGGACTCGCCGTACAAGCTGTTTATGTCACCAGCAATGGGTGACGCGCACAAGCTTGAAGTGGCACAATTCCCGACGTCTGGAGTCCAAGCCGATTACCCAGCTCAATTCATGGTTCGTAAGAACGGTGCTGTCGGTCAACTCGACGCCAAGGTAAATATACGAATGATAATATTATTATATTTATTCACTAAGATCGCCGTGAGATCGAAACTATGATAATTAAAGAGGTGAATTTGATGCAAACTGAATTGTTTTCCTATCTACTGGATGCTTGTCCTATACCTATACCACTTTTCGTGTATTTTTGAATCCTAAGAAGATCATTTTTCTTATTTTAGTTTTTTGCATTTATTAACAATTTTCAATTTAAATATAATTCTCATTTCTCCTCATGGTTTAGAGAATTTTTGGATTTTCGGGGCATTCGACTCTAAAATCTAGTTTTTAAAATGTAAATTAAATATTTAATATACAAACAATGTTTTTACATAATCGAATATTATTAGGTAATCGTAATTTTTCGAACCAAAATTTGAGTGTACGACTGACGATGAAAAATCAAATGAGAATTGAGAATAATTGTTTTTCAGTTTAAAAGTCAACGTAAAGCACTGGTACAGTTCTGCAAAACAATTTTTTTAATTTAATAAAAAATATTTTTTCGGTTCAAAGTTTGTTAAATAAAAAAAAACAGTGTATTTTTTATTCAGGGCACATATATGCACTTTTTTAAGACGCGTTCAAAATGTTTATATTATTTCTTATGTTGGTCGACGCACGATTTATACCTAATAACTGACTGCGATAATTTATTGTTTTGACAAGTGCTTGCGTGATGGATATGTTTCAGGTGGTGTCGCCGTCCGGTGCGGAAGACGACTGTTTCATCCAATCAATCGATCAAGACATGTACTCTGTCCGTTTCATGCCCCGTGATAATGGCGTTCACAACATACACGTCAAGTTCAACGGGGTTCACATTCCAGGATCACCGTACCGCCTGAAAGTTGGAAAAGGAGACGCCGACCCTGCGGCCGTGCACGCCACGGGCAGTGGTCTGGGAGACGTCAAGACAGGTACTTAATAACAAATATTTAAGCATAATAACCTATGCCGGACCAAATACGATATCGGAATCACTTTACACCTGAAACATCACGAAATCAGTTTAAAACCATTTATACCATTGAAAATCGGTTTCTCATAAGTTTCTATAACCAATCTTTTTTTTTCGATTTTCAAAATCAACAAGTAATATACAGTACTCCCTCGTTAACACGAACTCGGTTAACACAAATTATTGTATAACGCGAACCGGTTTTTCAGTCCAGAGAAAGGCTCTATACTATAAGATAGGGGTTTTTTTATTTCCTCGGTTTATACGAATTATTTCGGTTAACACGAAACTCGAACAAATTTTAGGTACCATATTGTCGTTTTGTTGATTAACACGAACAGAAAAATGTCAATCTGTACATATATATCTAATTTCGTTTTATTACTCGTATACTAGTCGTTAGTAATTTAATCTTTATAACACAGTTTTATATTAATCTTATCTTATCCCTACTATGTATGTACATATTCTCTATTGTAGGTACATACATATGTATACATGTGTACATTTGTATGTGTGCAATCTAGTTCGGCGATAATCGCTCTCGTTTAAACTAATAATTGCTCTATCAATCAGTTGGTCAGTTGACTTTGTTGGTGTCGTTAGTGATTGACCAAAATGAGTTTGAAAAGGAAGCAAATGTCTATAGATCTAAAAACTAAGCAACTAATTTTAGTAGAAGTCGAAAAAGGTACACTGCCTAAAACCAAAATCGCGGAGAAATTTGGCATTCCAAAATCAACATTATCAACAATTATTAAAAATAAAGATAAGATTGACGAAGCAGTTGCGCTTGGTTCAACCAACAGTACAAAGCGTCTACGAAAACCCATGCTTATTTACCCAAACCTTATTTTGAAGATTACTTAATAAAAAAAATGTATTTGAGTGTAAAATAACGTAGGTATTAGATTTAACCTTCTCTGATAACACGAACAAATTCGTGTTAAACCTATCGGTTTACACAAATTTTTTTAACACGAACATGTTATTTTGTGGTCCCGTCGTGTTCGTGTTAACGAGGGAGTACTGTAATGATAAACTAGATTCAAAAACATCGATATTTTTACCATTTTATCATTACCGGTTAATATTTTAGGACACAAGACGGATTTCATAGTGGACACTTGCAACGCAGGGGCCGGTACATTGGCTGTAACCATTGACGGACCAAGTAAGGTTTCTATGGACTGTACTGAAGTCGAAGAAGGCTACAAAGTCAGGTACACGCCGCTGGTGCCAGGCGAATATTACATCAGTTTGAAATACAACGGATATCATATTGTTGGTTCGCCGTTCAAAGTCACTTGTACTGGTAAGTTATATGTAATTAGGTTTATAAATTGAAACACGGAATAAAAAAGGTTTGGTTTTTGGCTTAAACCAGAATACGACTGCCCCCAACCAAGATTTATGGTTGTGCTGACAGTGACGACTAATAGTAGAATTAATTGGGTACAAGTTAGGTTCCTATTACTATATAATAATATATTGTTTTGTAGACAGTTAAGCTTTTCGAGAATTGTTCTTTTTGACAAGATGCTTTGTAGCATTTACCAATATATTATTTTCAATTTTGTATTTACAATACTAAAACCAGAACTTTTTGTATAGAAGCATTATAGTACTTACAGCATTTCATTCTTACAAAGTCTGATTTAAGTATACTATACCGGCTTGCCACCAAACTCTCTCGGGTCTACCTATCGGTCCATGTACATTTCTAGCAAACAACAGAGATTAAAGATATATTTCAAACATAAAAACGAATTACAGTTCAGTTACCAAAATTACGAATAAAATCGTGGCTTCTTAAACAGTATTTGCATTTTTTAAGTAACAATACAATTATAAATAATTAATCACTCAGAAAAATATTTAAAACAACTTTATGAAAAAAAATCGTAACTTAACTATGTATTTTAAAAGACACGATAAAAACTGTGACATATAAATACAATACGCCCCCTCAGATAAAAAAAAATTAAAAACTGGGTGACCTTCAGGAAAGTATTTGGAACCAATGAGTGAAAAAAAATTAACACAAAGTTCAATAATATCGACACAAAATTGTTACATAAAACATGCCTGTTCATGCTATAATGCTTTGCTATAATTTCTAGGTTTTTGTGATGGTTCAACTTATTTTAGGTGTAACACGCTGTGGAAGCAATGTATTTTTAAAAGTAAATTGTATTATATTATAGTTTATAGGCATCCCGTGACTATGAGATTCTCTTTAATATAGACGTTGATTAAATATAAATATATTGTATATTTAATCAATGGTATAGGTTATATAATATGAGCCACGCATCAGTGTAAATCAAAGTACCACCGCACCGCCGCCAAATTTTATCTGCCCGCAATCACATTTTAGTATTTTACTATTTAGTCTGTTTAATTATCATAAAATATTAAACAAGTGGTGTACATAATTAATTAATTATCCATTGGAATATTTGCTGATGCATTTTACAGAATTTTTTATCGAATTACAAATACTATATATTGTATTAGTACCTATATTAGCTATTGCAACAATGCGTTGAAAATTTGATTTTCTTACTTAACCAATCTTCCTCGAAGTTTCAAATGTAATTATGTTATAAGTACTTTTGACAAGTATTATGACAGCTACCTATATGGTTTTGTTACGTTTACGCAATAGTTGTGTACCTGACTACCTATTTGTGTGACGTTTTTGTGGAGTCTACAATGAATAATATGGTTACAATCCATTTAGTTTAAAAACATTAAAAGTAAGAAATACGATTAAAAGACTTTTTTACAGTTGCACCATGGTCATTTGGGTGTAGGGGAGGGTTATGGTTGGTACACTTGTGGATGGATTCTTCACTAAGACCCCGGGCTGATAAAACTTTACTGTTTTGTTAAATACTTAAGGACAACGTATAAATGAAATACGATTAAAATATTATTTTTAAGTTGGAACATGGTCAAATATGGGTGTGTGGGGGGGTTACGGTTGGAACACGTGTGGAAGGATTCTTCACTGAAAACCCGTGTTGTCACCCATCCGGGAGACATCGACGCTGGACGATGCTTGACCGCAGCACACATTAGTTGCCAACCACATTACCACACGCCAGGCCCCGATTAAAAGATAAATGTTGAAACTATGCAATAAATGAATTTACATACTTACTGATATTACTTCATTGAATACCATCTGAATATTTTTTTCCGTGTACATTATCGATGATAAGGCTAATGAAATATTTACAACGCCAATCAAAACAATAAATTTAAAGGCGTTTGATCGTTTTTACAGGCGAGGATTTGGCTGAGCGCGGGCCACAAGAAACAAGCTCGGTGGTTGTGGAAACCGTACACAAAGTGTCTAAAGCTCACAAGGGTGGGGCTGGTGTCGTTCTGCCGCACTTTAAGTCAAACGCTACACTCGTCACTAGCAAAGGAATGGGCTTGAAGAGAGCGTATGTGGGAAAACAAAATCTGTTCAGCATAAGCGCTTCTGACGCCGGTAAGTTATTATAGCAATATAGAAGGGTTCTGAATTTCAATGAAAATATTTTATTTTCTTATAAATGTCTTCAGTTATAGATGATTAGAAATTATTATTTTGATCATACACAAAAAATATAGATAATGAATGGGCATTGAGTAATGACCAAGATTTACGAATTACTAATTTAATGGTTGTAAATAAGGTATTAATTGTATTTACTATTTATATTAATTTTTTATTTATATATTTATTTTTATTCGTCCAAAACAGTGACAATTTGTTAATTACAATTAATTACATTGATAATAGCTGATAGGTATACCAACTTAGCTATAAGCTCGTATAACCGCTTTTAGACATAATAAACAATTATATTTATTTTTTACACAAATGAAATATTTCATAAAAGTTTCATGGAATTTTAAAACTCTATTAGTATGACATGATTGGAAACGTAATAGGCTAATAATATGACTTTAAGAAATAATGAGTAGGATTTTTCACTCTCGGTAGACTATATTGGGAAAGGAAATTCCGTTCCCCTGAATCAACTATTTTGATCTCTGGAGGCGTTTGTAAAGGAAGGATATTATAAATACTTAACACATTATTTCATGTAAATATTATATGGTAAATGATCAGAATATCTAATAGGTTAACTAATGAATAATTATCTTTGCTAATCTTTATATTTATTATAATATTACCTATATTTTTGTATTAATCAATTGCCGGTCTGTTGTTATATACGATTTTAAAGGGTTTTTTTTATCATTTACTAATAATATAATTATTGTAGACTCATTTTTAAATCCACTAAAACGTTACATGTTTATGTTTTAAAGGTAACAATATATTATTCGTTGGTATTTATGGACCCAAAGGACCGTGTGAAGAGATATTTATCAAACACATGAAACAGAACAACTACCAAGTGAGCTATATCGTCCGAGAACGTGGCGAATATATTCTACTGGTCAAGTGGGGCGATGATCACATACCCGGCTCACCATTCAAAATCGATACCTAAATCTATTGAAAAATAAAAAATAAAAACATTGAAAAAAAAATTATAATAATAAAAAATCCAATGGTTCGAAGCTAGAAGACATCGATTTAATCAATCTAGGGTGAACAGGTGGACTTATATCATTATCATTTCCATGATCAAAAAAATAGAAGAAACTTGCAACAGGTGTCCGTCTGTCGGGATATAAAGACAGCTCTACCAGATTCATACTGTAATTATTTATTATTTCTCGCTTCCGACTTTATATTATTGTCATTTACTAGTAATACCTACTACACAGGAAAAAAACAGTTTCACTTTTAGCTAATAATTATTTACGTTTATTCGAATTTTGAATCTTACATTGTTTATTTTATATACTACTCATCGTGACTATGTATTACATACATTTTATAATGTTCGTTAGTCAGAATATTAATCATTTAATTTATTTTTATTATATTATTATTATTATTATTATTATTATTCAACATTGTAATAAGTTAGTGTTCAACGAAACGTTCCGTAAAATGTAATATTGATTTGCCTGAAACATAATTATCTAATATTATATATAGGTACCTACTTCGAAATAGTCAATAGCGTTGGTCGTCTAACTAATTATTAAACAACGTTCAGTGTGGTATAAGGTATACTTAACTTTTGGCTAACCACTTCGTTTCTTCTTTATTTGTACTGATTCAATATGATTTTACACAATATACATTA